TGTTGGGACAAATATCTGAGTTGTCCTCTGCAAACATAAAATTTATACTGAAGACTATGCATATTGTGGTACTTATACATGAGCAGATAATAATCATCCACATATACTTTCTAGCTTAAACTCCTTACTCTAAAGGATAGCCTCATATACTCCTTAGTCCTTACTTGTTAGCAGTAAATCCTGTGTGTGTGTGTGCGCGCACGCTTTGATTGCATTTGCGGCACCCTACTCGGTTATGTCTGCTGTGCAGCGGGTTAGTCTCCATTTTTTCGGGGGGAGATGATAAGATCATGTGACCCTTACAACAACAATACTGACTAATATTTTTATGCTCCTTATTACAGATTACAGTAGAGAACTTGCCCTCGGATTGCTTAATTTGCATTAAAAAAATTTATTCTTGAAAAAATTTCGGTTTTTGTTGCAACGCATGGGCATAAACCTATATATTCTAAACTCTGAACTGCATGAATCTGTTGTGAATTAAATTTTTTTTGTTTGGACCCGCCCTTTGTTATACAATCAATTTGTGATTGATTTAAATGCAAAATTCTTTGTCATACAAGCAACAAAGTTGATGGCCATTTCCCAAACAGGATGAAAAGACCATAAGAAAAGACTGTCACTGTGTTGTCTTTTCCATTTTTCACGGTGTGAAGCATATTTTAGCCAATTTAGTCAATGTTGACTACTACAACGTTAGAAACATTGTTTATTTGCTCTTCGTGACTAACACTTGGGTGCATTTTAGTCCAAGAAGGCAAAGAACATTGTGCTAAAGCCCTGGTGCCAAAGCTGCAACCACCATTATCAGCACCAATCATGGTATTTATGTTGTCTCTTGCTACATGTAATGAGCAGGCACATTGAGATGACTAAGAATATTTCTATGAAATGTAGACATCTAGCAAGGTATGCTAAACTGAATTCTTGCTGATTGAAATCATCTAAATATATTTAATACAATCATGGACTGTTGTTTGTGTAATATGGTTTAGGTCCTAGTTGTGATTTGTGTAGAATTGTTTAATTTAAATACGCAATTGTCACTGATTGTGAATAATTATTTTTAGACAATTCCGTACCAATGTCAATATAAATGTTTCACATACATATTATACCATTATAGGGACAGATTTTGGGCTATTTGCTTATTTCTGAGAAAGTAATCCAGGAACCACATAAGACTAAGTTCACACATAACAAAGGATTTTACATAAGTCAAGATGAAACCTTGAGCGATTGCAAGATTTTTCACCGGGGTGGACATTTCAACAACCACCTAAATTTGTGTTGAAGTAGACTCTTGGCATGTCCAGTTACTTTCTCTTCTTTCTATAGTTCTGCAGTACTTTTTGTTGACTTATTTTTCTCAGTTTTCCTCTTATACGTCTGGTCTGGTGACTAGGGATGGAGGGCTTCTATTTTCAATCAAAAGCAGGCAGGATTCCAAGTATATTCAACAGTGATTCAGTTCGTGAAAACACAATAAATTGAGGGTTGTCTCAGAAAGCAGCAGGAAGTTGTTAGGATTGTTTCAGAAAGCAGCAGAAAACTTTTACCTTTTTTGTCAGTTTTATCCGAACACCTAAGAATAAAGGATTCCTTCCAGGGTAAGGGCTTGCCACTTTAGATGTTTTTCTTTGTCTGCCATTAGATAAGACAATTACATATTTATAGTTTTTTATTGACAATTTGACATAGAACTAACATTATGGTTTGTGCATAAGACAGTTGCGTATCTAGTTTATGGTTTGTGTAAATGGACACTGATTCACATTCATAATTATTTTCAGCCAATTCTGCAACGGGCAAGTTAAATTGAGCTCTGTGCTGAATGTGCATCCATCAAATTATGAATTGTGGTTGCAAGATATTTTTTGGTGAGCTATTGGATCTTCCCTAGTCCAGCAGGATGAACCTCTTGTCGTACTCTCGGGTGAAGGCTCGGACTCTTTGGAAGGATGAACTGAATCGAGAATTCTGCAATGACAATGAGCATTTCATGATTTGTACTAAGAGTCCTTATCCTTAGTATAATTGTTTAATTCTATAAGTTGTCTAGTATGTCGTTCCAATAACCTTGCTATTACATTCTTGAACTATAAAGCTTTTTTATTTTTATTATTGTACACAATTGAAAGTGGATGATCAAAGTTATTAATGTCATTGCACTTTATGCCATTGGATTTTGTAATTTTGTGAATTTCAGGAAAAAAACGGATGCAGTATAAAATGGCGGAGAATAGATTTTGTTGCAATAAGCCTAATGTCGATGCAATAGGTTAAATTGCATCGAACCTAGTGTGGATGCAATAGGTTGTATTGCATCAAACCTAATGTCAATGCAATAGGTTGTATTGCATCAAACCTAATGTCGATGCAATATGGTTTTATTGCGTCGAACCTAATGTCCATGTACTATGGTCTACTGCACCGCTGTTGTAATAGAAATTCTTATTGCATCAAATTTATTAGATGTTTTACATCAACATTATTTTGATGCAATAAACTTTTTGATCTCTCTATCGTGATGCAAGAGACACCCATGGCCGATGCAATAGAGCGACCTCGCCTCAAAATGATTTGGATGCAATAACCCTTTTACATCTCCCTATTCTGATGCAAGAGACAACGATGCTCAATGCAATAGCAGCTCTCGCATCGGTCACATCAAACCGATGCGACAAGGCTATTGCATCGAGATCTCTTGCATCGGCTCACATCAAACGCAAAATTAGTACGATAACAAGCTATTGCATCAATTTTGGCCCTATTACATCAAAATTTTGTCGGTGCAACAAGGTCAAAAATTAGTAGGTATAGTATCACGGTCGAGTACTAAAGTTGAGTACAAGGCATTAGCCAACGCAACAACAGAGATAATGTGAGTCCAAAAGTTGATTGATGAATTGGGAATTCAACATCCTCATGCAGCTCGGCGCTGTGGTGTGATAATATTGGTGTTACTTATCTCTCGGTAAATTAGTCTTTCATGCACGTACTAAGCATATTGATATAGATTTTTCATTTTGTTAGAGAGAGAGTAGCGCAAAAGCTGCTTGACATTTGGTTCATACGTTCTTAGTGGTCGGCCGAGATTGAGTGGGGGTGTTGGGAAACGTGTAACACAAGGGTTGTTAGGCGTGCACCACGCCTTGTACATCAAGATAGGAAGTTTGGTAGTTTGTTATAGATGAGTCTATCTCTTTGTAAACCTGACCTATTGTACAAGCCACACCAGGGGCTCTTCCTAGTCACTATAAACATGGAACCGAGTCGCCAGGGAGAGGCAACTCGTTCACCCACTTTCGCAATACATACCGTATCCATATTCAGATACTCAAATTTGGATATATATGATGTCAATATCCATTCGTATCATATCTAAAATATTTGTAACCAAATTCGAATATGAGGTTTACAATAGCATTCTGTATTCGTCTATAGGTATCCAATCCTATTCGATTCGTTTACACCCCTAACTCCGAGCAATATATCTCCTGCTGTTTTAGTTCCACCTCAAAATTCAGATACACAAAATTAAACTCCCTATAATAATACAGTATTACCCATACAAATTTATTATTTTTGCATTGTCACATACTCATTGGCAACGATCGACGATGTCATATAAGACGATCAGATCTTCTTGAATATAATTGGCGCGCCATGCTGAGGATGCAGCGTAAGGACAGTGTACGGTGCATGCGTGTACGAAGGCGACAGTTGGAACTCGAAGCGCTGGAGGATCATGCTCAAGGCCATCTTGGCCTCAAGTAGCGCAAAGTTCTGCCCGATACAGATCCTCGGCCCCCACCCGAAGGGGAAGAATGCTGGTTGGTCCTTGGTCGCCTTTGAGATCCCCTCAGCGAACCTCTCTGGCTTGAACTCATGTACGTCCTTCCCCCAGACATCTGGATTATGGTGGACGACGATTATGGGAAGCTCGAGGATTACCCCTGCAGGGTAGGAGATGCCTCCAATCTTCATGTCTTTGAATGTTCTTCGGTTAAGCGTCACTGCCGGTGGATACAGCCTGAGCACCTCGTAAAGTATCATCGCCACCTGGATATCATGTAGGTACAGATAATGTTAGCACGTAATATAATGTTGAATGGGCTTGGAGCAAACATGTATACATGGTATTGCAAAGAAGCACTTGCCGTTTTGAGTCGACCTAGGCCGTCGAAATTGGGCTGCTTGTCCCTGCCGAACACGCTGAGGACCTCCTCCCTCGCGCGGTCCTGCCACTCTGGGTGCATGCCTAGGATGACGAGAGTCCACGTGAGCAGCACCGATGTGGTTTCCATCCCCGCGAAGTAGAAGAGCTTGCACTCCTCAATCACGTCCTCCGTGCTCATCCTCAGGCTGCCTTTCCCGCTATCCATGTTCGACTGCAGTAGCAAACCGAGCAAGTCGTTGCTGCTGGCTTCGCCGTTCTCGATTGCGCGCTCCCTCTTCTCGATCATGCCCCTTAGAGTCCCTTCGATTTCCCTGTTGATCTCGTTCATCCTCCGATTGTTCTGTGTCGGGAAGAACCTGCATATATAGTTATATTATAATGGCATGAGCGCACGCATATGAATGTGATGACGTTTAATGTACTAGAATTACGGCACTATGTGACAGATCAGAAAGTGCTTACATGAAGCCTGGGATGTATATATACTGGAAGGCCTTGATTAGTCGCTCTGCTTGCTCGCTCTGAAGTTGGAAGATCCTCCGCCCTTCCATGAAGCTGCTGCCGAATGCCGTGCGGGAGATCACGTCTCCGGTGAGGTTCTGAAACTCCGGCCAGATGTCCAGTTCATATGATCCGTCAGAACCAGCGATCTTGCTATCCCAACGATCTATAAGCTCGGTACAACACGTCGAGAACGCCGGCAGCATGCGCTGGGAAAATAACTTTAGTAATAAGTACACACATGACACATCTATATGCTTGAGAGACCGTGCAGAGCTGAAGCTGATTGCCTGTATGAAGGAAGTTAGATAACCTTGAGCTTTTCGAGATGGAATGCGGGGTTCAGGGTCCTTCTGTGTTTTGCCCATTTCTCGCCTTCGTAAGTCGCAAGCCCAAGGGCGAGCAGTTTCCCCAGACGCTTGTTCGTGAACTTCTCGAAGTGACCAAACTTGTTTGATAGGATGTCTCTGACTAACTCTGCCTCCGTGATGACCACCCTCGGAATTGGTCCGAACCAGGTGATACAAATGTTGCCTGCAGTTCACCGTTTGTGCCAAGAAAATTTCAATTCCATCTTTGAAATTTAGGGAACTTTCAATTTTGTAGCATTAGAGAAATTTAAGGAAATGAGCATGACAGGGACTATTTAAAAGCGTTTACTTGAACAAATAGATAGCGACAAGTCATATCTAGAAGGGTCACCAAAAAAATCCAAAACGGTCTGGGCCCAAGGGACACCTTGCGTAAGCATGGCCCAAACACACCATGGCCTATCTAGGTCATGCTTGGACTGGCATGGCCCGATACCCCATGTTGTACATGGGTCATTGATGTTGCATGCTGTGGGTAGGCACGGGCAGGGTCCGTATAAACAGTTGACTCGACTGGCCCATCCACCACAGGGTATATATAATCCCCATCCTGATGTCCACCTAACTTGTTCCTCATTTTCTAGCACGGTTGCTCCTTCGCGACACCACCAACTGTGTCATCTTTGGAGCCTCTAGCCCTCTAGGCTATCCCCCCCCCCACCCCACCCCCACCACACACACACACAAAAAGAAAAAGAAAATTATGTGTATTATGCTTAGCTTGATTGAAGTTTGGAGATTTGAAGTGACGAGCAAGTAGCGCCACCCATTTTGACATTTATAAGACCGATCGGTACGAGGGAATCACGTTGCTGACCAAGTCCACCATTTGTAGACTCTGGCTTGCCTGATAAGAATTATTTAAGTGGGCGGTGATGTAACTAGGACTTTCGATTAAGGGGGACCGGGCAACATAATGACACTTCATAAGTTTGATAAATAAATACATCAAGTGCATATCTCAATAGCTTTTTAAAGTTTTTACATATATATTTAGTATTCACAACGAAAAAACACAATATTATCATAAAAATAGGCGAAATGATAATTTCTGTGCAATTGAAATATTTACAGGGTATTAAAAAGTTCCACTGTGTTAAGGGGCTATGGCCTGCTAGCCCCCTGGTTCCGCCACTGCGAGTGGGACAAAAGTTTTTACTCCTAGAAGGCTGAAACAAACCGTTCAAACTCACAAAAAAATACCTTTTGTTCAATCAAAATAAAAGTTTATTGAGGTGAAACAATAATATAATTTGTGCAAAAAAATTGTACCGCTAAGAAAAATCGTGCAAACTCGTGGAAAAAAGTGTATACACCCAGAACAAAACATTGTGGATACGTAAAGAATGTTATAAATTATGGACAAATATTATTAACACAAATTCATTAGAATGTTGTACACACTGAGGTAAAAAATTATGCAGCTATTAATTATAACCGAGTTTGTACAAGTGGGACAATAAACTTTTGCAAATGAAACAAACACAAATATCATAGATTTTTTAAAATATAGATAATTGAAATATATTAGCAGAAAAAATTGTTTTACAAATGGGACGAAGAATTTAAATATAACATGGAACAGATTAAATATATATCATAGGTCTGGTGACTGGGGTGGGGTGAAAATTGAAATGGAGCCCGAGGGAAGAATTCAAACTTGCCATGTGTCTCATACATGTCTGTCTGGTGGGCGGGTGGCCAATAGAGGTGGGAGGTGCCGTGCCCTGCCTGCACGGCATGTTTTCGGGTCATACCCTCTAGGCACGCGAGACACATCGGGCCATACCGATACAGCATGGTAAATCTTTTCTTCGGCCTAAGCACGGCCCTTAAAATATCTCTGCTAGTTTTTTTTCGCTCATGATATAAAAAAATACATATCATTATATCTTGTGTGTATTATTTTCATAAAATTTTAATGATTTTTGTAATCTATTCAAGAATTAGATGAGAGGTAGTATAGTAAATGGTAGGGAATTGCATTATAGAGTTGAAGATTTTTTTTTGTACGTGCCATTTTCGTGCCATGCTGGCCCTAACACGGAACCAAAATACAGGCCGGGCCATCTAGCCGCCGTGCCGAGATCCTAAGCACGACACGGCCCTTTGTGTTCGTGTCGTATCAACACAGCACAAAATATTTCATGTCGTGCCGTGTTAAAAGACCGTGCCATGACCCGCTCTAAAAAATGGCACGGTCCAAGTTCCAGCTCTAGTCTCAGTAGCTTTTTCAAAGTTTTTGTATATTTAGTATTCATAATGAAAAAATATATTTAGTATTCATAATGGAAAAAACATTCACAACACTAGTCAAGCGACGTCAATCTCAGTGTTCATGAGAAGCAAACATTCAACGAATTCTCGATATTACCATCCGTCGTCCGGAAGATTCTAGGCAAAGTAACTGTACTAGACTGTTAGGCCCTGTTCATTTGTCTTATAATCCGTACTTTTCATTTTGTTTTTTAGTCGAAACAGTGTTTTCTCTCTCACAACAAATCAACCGGAAACAGTGTTTTGGCTTATTTTTTCAGTGGAGCGAACGGGACCTTAATGGACGTAGAGAAACGACAAAGACTACGGGACGAGACTTTGTACGTACCGTGTTCCTTGATAGTGTTGAAGAGATGCGGCATCACGCGGGGAACAACGTCGTGGCACGGCGGCATGGGCCTCGACCGCGCCTCGTCGTTGAGCCTAGCGTTCTCCTTCAGGTCGCCCGCCGGGAAGCGGTACTCCGTCCCGGTGAGCCCCTGCGCCCGGAGCGCCCGGTTGAGCCGCCGCGGCCGCAGCCAGAATGTCTGCGCGGCCCGGTACGCCCCCCACACGACGAGCAGGGCCAGGAGCCCCTGGAGCAGGCTCCACGGCGATGATGGCGAAGAAGCCGCTGCCGCAGCTGCAGCTGCTACAACGCCGTCGTCCATCGTTTCCTGCTTTCAAGTTATGTGCTGTGACAACCACACAAGTACCACAATGGTGCAGTGTGTGCTTACTGAGACGAGCGAGCGCGATATAAGTAGTAGTGGTAGGCACCGCACGGGCGAGCGTGTTGCCGGCCACCGCCAGTGATTGGTGCGCTCCGTTGGCATCACATGTTTTTCCTATATATATGTACTTCGTCTTTTATGTGCAGTTGATGTCTATGGTTTCTTGGCGGGCACGGTTGGCTTGTGGAATAAAATGCACCACACAAAAAAAAAACCGGCCGAAGCAAGCTAGAATAATTTGCTTACCGTGTCTTGTGTCTTGGCGGGCACGGTTGGCCAGTGATAAGGTTTTATGATATATAATCACACGCGTCAATAAAGATGTTGCTAAGAGAGGGAAACGTTCGTCCCTATCGTTTGTTTCTCTAGAGAGTGAATATAATAAACGGGCTGCACTGTAAAAAACTAGTGGCTTACGTTTGCATGTATGTATGATCGGACCTAGGGGACGACAGCTTGAGGAAAAAGAGTCAGTCCTCTTCATCATGGTTACTGTAGTTGGATAATCTACTACTTATTGGACCATTATAATAGATTGAATTGTGAAAAATCATGGGAACAAAGAAACGCATATTACCATGCAACTGATCTATATACTACTACTTTTAGTTACAAGATATTCTCTACAATCCCTCCCTTCCCTTCCCCTAACCGTCCTAACGGGCGACTCAGGGGCGACCCCGTCGGCATCGTAGGAGAACCCCGCCGTGGCAGCCCCCAAAAAAGGGTGCGCGTCCGCAGCCCTCCCTCCCTCCCACCTCTCTCCTTCTCCACCATTCCTCCACCACCTCTTCTCTCGCGTGTTGGGCGGCCCGTGGAGCGGATCTGGACAGCCCGGAGCCGGATCTGCTGCCTCGACATCTGACTCTGGCGGATGCATCTGCTAGCGAGCGCTTGGTGGCCAGGGCTTGGGCACTGGAGGCCTGCGGCCAGATCTGGTTGGTCAGTGGCCTGGGGCGGCTAGCAGGCCCTCCTAGGCTTGGGGCCGGGGCGACAGCGGCCAGTGGACGGATCTGGCTGGCCCTCGGCTTGGGGCCTGGTCCCCACCGCTGACTGCCTCAACGGCGCCCTGGTCTCCTCCGGATGGCCAGCGACCTAGGGTGGCAGGATCTGCTGGCCCCGTGGCCTCCTGGCGCTCCTAGGCGGCCGGTGCCAGGGCACCGGCGGCCACCGGCCAGATCTGACCCACACACGGCCTAGGATGGCTGGATGGTGGCGGCCAGCGGTGAAAGCTCTAGTTTGGTTTTGGTTGATTGATGAAACCCTTGGTACTAACCTTTGGCTCTAAGTGAATATGAGACAAGTTGGTACACGCCAAGTGATGGAGCAAAGATGAAGTCCATGGTAATGTTGGTGGACATGTGATGATGATGATCAAGCTCCAAACTTAGAAAAGAAGAAAGAGAAAAACAAAATGGCTCAAGGCAAATGTATATTTATTGGGAGCATTTTGTTTTGCCGCTCAAGACACACCAAGTGGGTGTGAGTGGATTTAGGATAGATAGCTATACTATCAAGAGGGGAGAATCTCGGTTATAGCAGTTGTCAAGTGTCACTAGGTGAAGTGATTCATGCATATGCATTAGGACCTGCTAACAATTAATGCTTTGGAAAATGTTAGTGAAAATGCTAATACACAAGCACATGGTGGTGTACACTTGGTTGTGCTGGCACATTTGCAAAGGAGACGAAGTTTTGGTGAAGAAAAGATTTTTCGGTGTGCTCCGAACTATATGATGGTTCTTGGATTGGAATTCTGTGTTAATCCATTGTGCTTTGGATCAAATATGCATGTGGGATGTGTAGCCCTCTACATAAGCTTTAAAAATGTCCAAGATCATCAAAATCAGAGTTCGGAGCTAAGAGTTATAGTCGTTTTAGCGCTAAGTCCGGATCTCAGGACTCTAGCTCAGGACCCTGTCCCCTAGGTCCGATTCTAGGGTCCGAACCATGTCACCTGGGTTTGGAGCTAGGGTCTAGACCATGTTCTCTGGGTTCGGTTGAGTGTTTTTACATGTGTTTGGAGGGACGGCACCCTGAGATGGTCCGGTTGTTGGGTCTGGACCGGGTCCAGAGGGAAAAACCCTCTCTGGAACCTCTCTGTATACATCCGGACCCTGTGTTGAGTTGGTTCGGACCTCGGTCCAATACTACGCAGTTTGACGCTATAGGGGACCATGACGCCTAAGAGCGGGGGGTTGAATTAGGCAACTTAAAATTCTACTTCTCAACTATAGCCTCTTTTTCTAACCTTAGCAAAACCTATGCAAAAGATAAACTATCTAAATGTGCAACTATAGTTTTGCTAATGTGTTGCTATCTCTAGCGCAAAAGGAGCAATACAAACAATATAAATGCGGAAGCTAAAGAGCAAGGCAGAGATATGCAAATTCCCATCGACGACTCTAGTATTTTTACCGAGGTATCGAGAAGCGCGCAAGCTTCCCCCTAGTCCTCGTTGGAGCCCCTCACAAGGGCCAAGCTCCCGGTCGGGTTACTCCGTGGATAGCCTCGAGCCTTCCCCACGCGCAAGTGGGTCTCCGATGTGCCTTCTGGCAAGCCTCTCCTGGATGCTCCCCGCCGTCTTCACAATCAAGCTTCCGGCCGAAACGCCGCAGGCCTTGTTCTCTACGGTACACGGTGGCGGCCACACCACAAACGCGTGGTTGGTGTGATCTCGTAAGACTACAAGCCCCTCCGATGTACAACAATGGTGCGTGCAAGCACCGAGTGGTAAGAGGTATGCAAACATCACTAAACACTAGGCCTAAACCTAGAGCAAGCGCATAAGCAGTGGTCTAATCAACCTAAGTACTTCGCAAAGCACCTACGCTAATCACCTAATGAATTATTAAGCACTATGCAAGTAGAGATCACTAAAATGGTGTATCAACGCCCTAGATATGTTTCCTCAGCTCCACTCTCCTCAAATGGCCGGTTGGGGGGTCTATTTATAAGCCCCACAGAGAAAGTAGCCATTGGGGACGAAATCCCGATTTTCTGCTACTGACCGGACACTCAGGTCACCCTGATTCGACGCGTCCGGTCGTCCCGACCGTTAAAGCCACGATCAACGGATCGGACACTGCTAGCGTCCTGTCACATGCCACGGACGCGTCCGATCACAATTTTGCCACTCTGAAACCTTTCTGTACTCGATCGGACGCTGCAGTCCTACGTCCGGTTGATTTGCTGCTAGCGTCCGGTCAATACTGAATGTGTTGCCAGGATGATGAACAGTGCCATTAGTGCGTCCGATCGATTTTAGTACTCAGCGTTCGATCGCTGCTGCTGACGCCTGTTGTTGCCGACCTCTTGATCGGAGTGATGAGGACATCGCCAAGATGGAGTCAAGGAGGGGAGGATGATGAGGACATCGCCATGCTGGACACACCGACGCCATGGTCTTCCCCAAGTTGCAATTCGTTCCCAACTCAACTGCCACGTCGCCCTCGGATTCAGTAGACACGTCGTCACTGTTTCGGTCATAACTTTCTCATACGACATCGAAACGGGCCGTTCTTGGATGCGTTGGAAAGGGGACGACGACGCCGTCGTTTTGGATCTGGTCCCAGCTCCAGAAGGTCCGTGGATCATTCTTTGTGACCACGGCAAGGTGCTGCATCACCTATTTGGGCCAACTTGGCCATGTATCGTGTCGGGCCTTAAGCCCAAGTTGTGGGCGCCCAACCCCTGGCCGTCCCCAACCCTAAGTCGAGTCTTAGACTATAAACACAGCCGTCGCCGCTGCTACACAATTGGGTTTTGTTTAGAGTTTAGTTTTCCATCGAGAAACTGAATCGTTCATTGTAACTGTGGTGACAAATCCTTTTACAGTGATCCAGGGCCCCCGTTCTTGATCTCCTCCACTGTGTCGATTAGTCCTTTGGAACCGAGTTCTAGAACCCTCTATTGATATTCGCGTCATTCATATTTGCAATATCAGATTGCGTGTTTTACCTTCTTGCTTGTGCTCTTCGATTCGCTTGCAGGAAAAGCCTTCTTGGCGAGGTCAATCAAGTTGTGCTTGGTTGATAACCAACGGAGCAGTGGTGTAACGGTTGTAGGGTTTGAATCGCGTCTGATTTGAAACCGGATCGCCAACGTCGAGATCTCCACAAATCGAACTTATCGGCTACCTCTCGGAAGATCGGGCCTGTACTCATCAATTGGTATCAGATATTTCAGGTTTACCGCGAGGTATAATCTCGTTTGCCTTAGATTCATATTTGTTCATTACCTAGAGTCTACAAAAAGCCCAAAAATATTTCAATTTCCGCTGTCCTATCACCCTTTGTGCCTTTGCAATTTTGTTTCAGATTCGTGTTGTTGTGTTTGTGTCCGTGGTCGAGTCTTGTTGCTGGTTTAGGATTGTGTTCGTGGTCGTAGTTCAACCGCCCGTTGCTGTGATTTTTGTTTTCCGCCGCTATCCCATCCACCGTTCCCAAACAACAAGTCGAAGCCACCACATTACTCGACTTGCCCCGCTAGCCGCCTTGTGTCACTTCTCGCCGCCGCGCAAACCCTAGACAGGTTGCCAGCCGCTCTTATTTTGCCTGCATCGCAGGCCTCCTTACATCATCAGGCGAATACCTACTGCTGTTAGTCACAGTGACGATCCTGTGATCGGTGCTAGAGTTTCGGGACGCTTTGCCCTAACTGCCGCCGCCATGTTGTGTCTCCTGAAAAACATACCTTGAGATACCTTCGGTAAAACAGGCATAACTTTTCGCTCGTTTATCCGAAAAATCTGAAATTTTTTCAGCAGCTTCTTGACACCATTTGGGGCCGACCCAAACTTGGCTTTGCCCTATTTGGTTTCATCAAAATTGCCAAAAAAAATCGGGAAAATATAGAAAAAAAATTGTCAAAGTTTTTGCACGCTTTTCAGAGAACGTGCTGAATTTCTGTAGACCACATCCCACCTCAGTTGTAGG